AAATGAGTATTATTTCATTGTTGCAAACCACTTATATGTTATTATATAAAGCCATGATGGAAAACCAACTGAGAAAAGCCTCTGCTTAATTCATTCTATCTATAAAATGTTTAAATGAGAATTTTCAGCAGTAGTGTTGCTGTACATTTCTCAAAGATCAGTTGATTTTCAATGCAGACCGTTAATAATGATCAAAGTCTATACTTCATTGCAAAACAAGTGACATTAAAAGTATTGACCACTGGATTATAATTTGATATTCTAAATAGAACGTGCCTAATATGGGTCCAGCCGACTCTGGATTACACACCTTTTGGAATGGTCAATGAGGAGTAATAAGAATTTTTAAGCTAGAACAAAAGAGTTGTTCAGTACCCTCTGGCTTTCATAGTTTCATAGACATTGCCAACATTTGTAATTTGAATTAAAATATATCTAAGTTCAACATATAAATATCCTCATCACCTTTATTGCACATACAGTTATTTACAACTAATATCTTCTCAAATCATCCTTGTCTATAACTTCAAAACCATTTCTTTCAGTTTCGAACACTTTATATTAAAATTTTTAAACTACTTTCTTTCTACTTGACTACTAACAGTTTAGGTTGCAAGTAAAATGATCTACTGAACGAAAGCGATGGGGAAACAGTTTTTCTTCTTAAAAGTATGTGAGATAAATCATACTCTTAAATGACCAATAACATCGCTCACACACTAATTCCCTTCAGGAAATTTGTAATACTATGACATTTGTTCGTAATTTAATATGTCTATACCGACTTCTATTTCATCAAATATGCATCGGTTCAGTAAGTCAGTCAGTAACAACGTAGAACTTCGTACCTACGTACATCAGTTCGAGTCGCCATACCACATTAGCACACAGATACAATTGTCGATTCAAATCCCGTTGTGGTAGACGTAGTAAGCGTATAAGCAGTAATCCGAAAGATTAGGGTTTGAAGATATCATTGAAGAAGTATAATCCAGTGAAACGAACTTGGAAAGAGAAAAAAGGGACATAAAGAATTCAGAAGATTAGAATTCTGGAGAACACAAAGAGTGGATGCACCTGCGCCATCGCAAACAATTTTGAGCCATGTCATTCAAGGTCTCTAACCATCGGTTGCTATCATCTCGCGAATCTCAACCAGGTACTTTACACCTACCAACACGACTCAATCCACTTGTCAGTGACTCCATGGATTTGTGCCATGTCGTGGTCTGGCCGCCCCTAGCTTTCTTCCAACCTACTCTTACACCAGAAAACATCACACTTCGGGGTAGTCGGTGGTTGGACATCCATAAAACGCGTCCTAGCCATCTCAACTGATAAAGTTTTACTACTTCATCAATTGATTTGGTGATGAAGTATTGTTCAGGAAACATAATCATATCTACTATCACTAATACTGTGATGTGTGCTACTGATGTCGACAGATATAAGTAGTATGTATCATCAATCGAAAGTGAAATAGCTGAAGACCGAAGGTTACGAAGATCAAAGAAAAGAGAACGTGAACAAGGAATGATTGGTGTGGAAATGAAGGAAAAATAAAGACGATGAACTGACATTTTACAAATGAAGTATTTACTGTATAGTTCTCAGATTTTACTAAGATATTTTGTCATTTTGTGTTCAAATACATCCGATTGTCCTCACTTGTGTTCTTGTTCACTATAATATTACTGATAGTGTTTTTGCTCCTACTACTCTAACAACTGTCTTGATATTCAAAGACAGAAAATTTAGAAAATAAACCCAAACAAATTCTCAATGAACTTTTATTATTAAATTTAAATCAGTAAGAATCTGATTTAAAAATAATATTCTAGTTATGATTTTTATTCCTTCTATCACATAGGTTACTATAGAAATCATAAAAGGTTAAAATTCCCTTTTTACCATTTCTTACTTATAATATATATATATATATATATATATATTAAAAAATAGATCCGTTATTCAATGAATAAAGTAACTATTAAAAATAGAAATGTACTTGTTTTATCACACAATTCAATCCTGACCTTCACTTCCAAAAAAAGAAAAAGAAATTCTTATAAGAATAAAAGTAAATTAAAAATTTTAAATCTGATTGAAGCGCTAAAATCAATTGTATTTATATATTTACTAAAACAATAATATTATGTATATTGTAATGTATTGAATATAGGAATATATTTCAGGAAGTAAAAGAAAAAAACATTTTTTCTATAAATTACTTGCTATTTTAGTTTGTATTTCTACTTTCTTTTTTTGTTTAAAAGAAAAACAGCTGATTCTTGATTTTAATAAGTTTTTATTGAAGAAACAATTCCAAGTTATCAAAAACTATATAAAATTATATTGAGATTAAATGGTGGTTGGAGGTAGTCGACAGGAAATCCTGGACCCGGGTTTCGTGCTACTTGGTACTCTTCAGCAAGGTGTACCTGTAATCTTTGAGGGCACTGGTGCTCCCTGGCCGATTCGATCCATTGTCACCCAGCTTCACAGTCAGAGACGTTACCACTGAGCTATCCGGGCCGCGACTGACTTCCTGGGTACAAGGTTTCCTGTCGACTACCTCCAACCACCATCTAATCTCAATATATAGTGCACGCAGTGTCGAGTCACCTAGACTGGTGGCCACATTGCAACATGGTCGATAGCATTCCATCTGCACTAAATAGGAACTTGACAAGCATGACATTGATCAACACCCAGTGATCAATCAACTGTGACTATTTAAAATTATAGTTTATACAATAAAAAGAAAACTGAAATGTTTGAAAATTCTTTTTAAATTATCGGAATATTGAGACAATGAAATATCAACAAATATGGAATTAGTATCAGAAGGGATTTTGGTGGATATTATTAGTAATTTCAGTAGTGGAGATTATGAGTCAATTAAAGCTAGATCATGGAAACTCTGAAAGCGCTAAACGGCCGTTTCGTTCTAGTGTGGAACTTCTCAGTAGTGCGCATCCACGATTCCGCCCGCGGGATTCGAATCCAGAACCTATCAGTAGCTGAGTAGTTAATGCGATGGCGTTTGAAGCGAACGGTACTGAGTTCGAGTCCCAGAGTGAACATCAACTCTGCGATGCGTGTACATTTGGCTGACGAGTCCCAAATAGGACGAAACGGACGTCTTGGATTCCACTGCTAACCACTATGCATCTCTGATTATAATACTTGTGACCTAAGGCACTATCAAGGCAATGAGCACAGCATGTATATATGACAATAACAGACTGGCAATTTCAGTCCTAAACATCAACGGGAAGATTCAAACAAACAAGACAAAAATGAATTAGAATGATTACTATTGTAATTATTATTGTTATTACTATTCTTATTTCACCACTCATGCTATAATTAGAAATGCTGCCACTTTTCACTTACTACTAGATCAGTCATACCGTTTCCCAGAAACAGAAGATAACCAAAAATGTGAACCCTTAAATTGAAAAGTATTGGTTACTGCTGAAAGCAGCTTTTGTTTCTCTTAATTGACTGTAGGTGTGGTCATATAGTCACTGTAATCAACTTTACTGTTGCTTCGTAACAGAAAAAGTGAGTAGATCCAGAAGTAATACAATAACTATAAACATCTTCCTTGTTGACTTTATTATTGTTTGTAACAAATTTCTTTTCACCGAATTGTATTTAAATGTAGACAGCATTGTGAAAGTCACTTATATTATTGTTAATTTCAGTCATAATTATTTAAGTATATGCCAAAAATAATGAAAACAATCTATATGCAAATGTTGAAATGTTAATCTCTCATCTTTTAAAACAAACATATAACTTTTAAGGTTCATTTTCAAATTTACTTAAATCTTCAATCCCATTTACTGAGATAACAATAATAATATCACTGAGATTATTACAGTTCTGACGAAAATTGTTTGAATTCTTTTACAGATAAAATCAAATTATCATAAATAAAATAAAACTCAACACCAAGTCATAGAGTACCACGATGCGACAAAGATTTGGAGTATCATTTATGGTTGACTCCATTCTGTTATCTGATGGGTTTCAGTGTAGTCTGCCAAATAAAAGAGGACTAACAGTTTAGAATTGATAAAAACAATGAAACTAACCAATTTTCTGATTAGTAATAAACAAAAATTGGATTACTATAAATATTTATTAGTAAATAACATACAATTTCAGCTAATGGATTAATTCAACTTTATGTGTTCCAGATTACCACACAGATTAGTCTATTCTTTGAATTTAAGTATTTCAGTATATAATTGACGATATTTCGATATGCTCAAAACTTAATAAGATAAAATTAGTCAGGATAGCAATAATCGATTTCCAACCATCTGTATCATTAAAAATCTGGAGTTGTCTTTTTTTCTTCTTTACATACAAACACTCTAAAGGCTTATGATGAATCAATGATAATGTTTCCAACTAAGTAATTAGAATTGTATCTATTTCGAGGATTCATGTGAATACGCTAATTTTATGCAAATCTAATTAACATTCCTTTTAATTTTCGGTCTAGTTAAGGTTGAATACTTGTAGGCAAAAATACTTATAAATAAAAATTTACATTAAAGGTAAACCTTTATTACTGTTTTCATTTAGATATTTTTTTCCAATGAACTTAGTAAATCGTTATTTCTGTTGATTACATTAGTGTTTATCATAAATTTTGTTGGATATCAAACTCAGACATTAGGAAACAAATCAACTCTCGTAATTCATTTGCTAAATTTCAAATAGACTGAAATACATATTGTTAATTTTCTTGTTAAATATTACTCAAAAATAAGTTAAAATAAAATCAGAGCGCTAAATAATGTGGATGCGTACAGTTGAGGAGTCCCATATTAGGATGAAACAGACGTTCAATGCTTTCAGGTTTTCAGTGGTGGTCTAGTTTAGATCGACTCAGAAATCCAACTATTAACATTAAATAATATGTCAATTGGTTGATAGTACAATTTATTGGGAAAAATAAGATTGTAAATCATGCTTACCTGTATACCAAAACAGCCTAATTGATGAGCAGCTAATTCAATTCTATTTAATGTTCTACCACAACCAGCACAATCAACTGGTACATAAGCGCATACATGTCGATGATTACCAAAATGTATTAATTCTACACTGCCAATAGTAGTACATCCACGTTTAGCATATTCACAATAAATTTGTAAAGAATTTAAAAAATTCTTTAATGCAAGTACTGGTCTAGCTATTGATAATAAATTAATATTTGGTTTATCATGAAAACAATAATTATTAATATGATTATTTATATTGTTTGTTGTATTTACGACTGAATTTATAGAATTATTTTGTTGTGAATTATTAACATTTAATTTTGTTCGACAAGTTGGACATGTAAATTGAAAACGTGTTCGTTCATTATCACTTATTGTTAAATGATTTAAATGTTCCAATTTTGAATTTAACCATATTTTTAAACAATTAGCACAAAATGTATGACCACATTCTGTTACTACAGGTATAATAAATACACCATGACAAATACCACAGATTAGATTTTCATCAACTGGATTTACAAATCGATCAACTGGAATACCCATATTCACATTCACTCAATAAACTTTAAATTGTGATGATAAAGAATAAGTTTTGTACTATTCATGTATTATATGCATAAGTAAATTTATTATTATTATTATCATTACCAATTCATAACAGTATATATTTGTAATACATCGTACTTATTTAGCCTGAAATGATACATTTGTTGATCAATGATTAATATTTCCCCAATATATTTACAAACCAATCAGATCAAAGTGTTAAAACTTATTGAATTACTATTGGCTGATATGTAAATGGAAGAAAACCAATGAGAAAGCTTTGAAGAATGTAACAATTTTTATAAATTTATATGGTGAGTAATGTTACATTTATATCTGGTGAATAATGTAGATTGGTACATAGAAATGAAAGAACTATTTTATGTAATATGATGTAACACTGACAAGTTTATATTTCTATTCATTATGAATGACTATTGCATAATGTAATAAAACATTATGAAAACATTGTTGAAAGCAACTAACTTTAACTTACATCAAAATGATCATCTTAAAGAGAAATAAAGTACACTAAATTAAAATAATTACTCTTCCATACATGTTTTTTTTCAATAATATGTTTATTTCACTGGTTGAAATCATGAGTCAATTGAAGCTAGAACACCATGGAAAACCTGGAAGCACTGGACGGCCGTTTCGTCCTGGTTTTCCATGGTGTTCTAGCTTCAGTTGACTCATGATCTCAACCAGTGAAATTTCTAAAAATCTCCACAAAACCCATTCTGATAATAATATGTTTATTGTCAATTTTGTCTCGGGTAACTGTCAATGTACAATGTTCCACATTTCCACTTATTAATTTGATACATATGATGTAGTTTTGAGAAATTTAGAAATTTAATAGTCGATTAAAGCTAGACCGCCATAGAAAACCCTAAAAGCATACGAAAGGCTGTTTCATCATAGTATAGGAATCTTCAGCAATGCTCATTCACGATTCCGCTTGCAGGATTGAAACCCAAGACCTTCGGTCTCGCGCGCGAACGCTTAATCTATTCAAATATAGAATTCACATTATTATATAACACACTGTAGGCCATCAACATTTGACTGGGTTTATAAAAAATTTCACTCATCCTTTAAACTGTAAGACCTTATAGACAAGTTCATATTTCCATTTTAACAGCTTCGGTTTAATCTCACTCAATATCGGTTTTTTTTAAATAACTTTTAATTTAGTGGCTTCTAATGATTTATTCATCACTGAAACGGAAAGCGTAAGAAACACTTTTCAAATCATTGTTCCCATTTCCCTTAAGTAAATCATACTGGTCAAACTTTCAATTAAATGAGTTTGTAGAACAATTGTTCATTAATAGTTAAAAGTTCATTAGCTTTTACTTCTTCCACATAGTTTATTTCACGTGGTAAAATAAAAACGCATTTATTTTGAACGAGCTCTTAGGTTTAGTTACCTACAGTTGGGTCTAACTATTGACCTGCACTTGCAGTACGATGTAAGTGAGAAAATTCAGTGAATTTTGTGTGGCAGAATTTAACCACACATCAAGGGATTATCCTGGTTTGTCCAAAACTGTCATTACAAGATAATATCACTAAGATGTATTTTTTTATTGTGTCCAAGTACACTAACCAGAGAACAAGTGGGTCAAATAGACATATTTAGTCCTTTTTAATTTAGCCTACATATTTAAGAAACGATTGTCATAGACCTTGTATTACTGGTCTAAGTTACTCCATGCAGCTTTTCACTATTTCATTCTCTCTTCTTCACTAATAATTTCTAAAAACTCTTTTCATCATCCAACCGTTTTTAAGTAGTTGTATATAACAATGTGATATGATTTTCATCTTATTGTTATCAAGAAAGTTCTGTTTGAAATCACAATTAATTCATAGCTATATCGCAGTTGAAAATTCTAAAGCTTTGGATAACTATGTATCCATGACCTCGCCACTGGATGTCGAACCAAAAACATTCTTTCTTACTTATAAACGTTTGCCCCCTAGAGCCCTGCGCTACCATCCAGTCATACATATTTAACTTCAGTCACTTCACGGTATTGTATGACTATTTTTTGTTCTCTGACACCCAGAATAGTTGAAATTGACTGATCAAAGCTAGCTAGCGTTGTGTGAATTGCACCTTGAAACTAGTTACTAGTGACGATACGTTTATTATCAGTGAAGTGTTTCATGAAGATTGTAAAATTTCCATAGTATAAATTATGCACTGATCTTGGGGAAACCAGAACTGAAAGCTAGGAAGCACTGGAATGCTGTTTATTTGTGGTGGTCGGTATTCGATATATCCCTTAAACTTCGTATACAATTCGTCTTGATAACCGTCCTATTTAACCCCAACGGTATATTATTCAGAAGGCGAATACGAAGCGTTGATTACGTTTATTTCGAGACCACACACACAGATGTCCAAAATTACAGATGCATTAAACGAGCATTAAGAGTTGTGTCGAACGCAAACAGGCAAGCGAGCGACTGAGCGAATGTAAGTAATCGAGTACAATCAAGCGAGCGAGAAAGCAGAGTCAACCATATGAATAACGTGGACATATATATAGCATGTGAAATTAATGAGTAATCGAATCAAATAAGCGGTTAGTAGTGAGACTAGCAGAGTGACCATAAATGCGTAGGCCGTAAGCAATATTCAAGCATGCGTATTTCACACAAGCACAAAATAATAATAAGGGTACAATAAATTGTTATAGTGCGGATGGCTTTGTCCGCTAAATAAGTTAGCAAAAGGGCTTAACTGAGTTAAATGAGAATAAACCCATTTGCACATGAGTCGCTATATATTCCTAATTAGGTGCTGCCATGGAGTACCAAAAACGATAACAAAAACTCTAATAATCACTAGTCTTCAATAGTTGTCTTAGTTTTGCCTAAAGTATTTCCACAGACCAATCAAGTAAACGAATGCCTCTGTCGACAGATGAGTTTTACAATGTATAAGACACATGGATGAATCTTCACCAAATGCCAAATAAGAGAAAACCGTGAAGAAAATCGAATCTCGCGAGTTGGGATCGTAAATGCGCACTGTTGGGGAGTCCCACAATAGGACGAATCGACCGTTCATTGCTTCCAGGTTTTCTATGATGGTCTAGCGTTAAGTGACTCATGACCTCAACTATTGAAATATTTGTTTCACAAGAGAGTGACTAACACCAAAATATCATAAAAGGATGATAAACAATTAATGACGATATTTTCCGGAGATTCCGAACTTCATAACATATAAATATGAGATCAATATTTAATACCTGTTGAATGTACATTATTTTGATCAGAATGTTTTGTTTGTATGATCGTTTTTTGTCTACTACATATGAAATAAGATAATTATTCGTAATGTTTTTTTCATATCCAAACATATTTTGTTGTTACAGATAGGAAATATATCGATTTTATTGTTTTTATTTAACATAAATATGAATCATTTTAATCTATCCTACCTAAAATACACATACATCAATGTAATTCATTAAACTTGTTGTATCAGATTGACTATTTGAACAAATAGTTAACGAAATTATTCAGAAGAATAAGTTAAATCAAAAGAGTTCAACCAGGTCTGTTGTGAGATTGTAACCCACTGAAGACAATGGTGAATGTGTCGCTCAATTTCATAGATTGGTTGAAGTTAGAAATTAACACCGTTGGATGCCGGCCAACTCAATGGTCTAGTGGTTAAGCGCTCGCGCGCGAGACTGATATATCCCAGGTTGGAATTGCGCGAGGCAGGACCGTGGATGATCATTGCTGTGGAGTCCCGTAATAGGATGAGACGGCCGTCCAGTGCTTCCAGGTTTTCCATGATGGTCCAGCTTCAATTGACTCAACCACTGAAAAAAGAGATTTAAAAAAAAACTACCTGATTTCAGCGAATATCAGTTAAGTAACGTGTTATTATGTTGTGTAGAACAAAATCATATACATTAATAGAATAAGTGTAATTATTCCATAAAATATATTTCACAGAATGTTATTCCATCATATTTAATCGGCAGATTACTAAATTTTGATTTTTTACAAAAGAAAGTAGTATGTAATTATAAATAATAACGTTGTTATTAATTTTATGTCGTTTGATAATTAATGATAGTTGATTTTCTTCAAACTAACTATAAGTGATTCCACATTATTTTGTTTAGTTTAGTTTAGCCATAATCAACAAACGACTTGTATGTCAGCCAGTTAATCAATCAGTGAACAGAATGATGAAATAAAATAGATAGTTGTTGATAACAAATAATGACGATTCACTGAAGCAAATTTTCTTTTACATAACATTATTCACCCAAACTGTACAATCTTATATATTACTTATTTACTAATGCCTGTTACCCTTCGCGACCACCCACAATCACCCTCCATCCAACCCTGTCCATGGCAAGTCTTTCCAGTTCTTTCTATTTGTTATTCATCCTTTTCATGTGTGCTTCCGATTCCCGACGCAGTGTTTTTCGGCAGCCTTGTCTGCCGAACGCCTTTTCATAGTCAATGATGTTGATGCATGGTGACGAGTTCCATTCAACTGATGATCCGTTGTATCACGATTTGGTCTGTTCACGACCGATCTTTACGGAATCCAGCCTCTTGGTATTAAAGTTGAACGTCTACTGAGTCTTTCATCCAGTTGAGCAACACTGTTGGAAACTTTTCCTCGTACTGACAGTAATGTGATGCCTCTGTAGTTTTCACATTTACTCAGATCTGCTTTCTTTGCTATCTTGATGAGGTGTCCTTCTTTCCAATTTGTCGGTGGCACTTGATCTTCCTCCCAAATCTTCCTGAATAGAAGATGAAGTATACTTGCAATTACTTTTATGTCCGACTTCAGAGCTTTGGTTGATATATTGTCAGGTCCTGTCTGATGGACAATAATTGTATTTATCGTTAATTCAAATACTTTAATCTATAATAAAATAGAGTTCATTACATGAAAGATGATAGAAAATGTTTTCAAGTACCAATAGACATTCTGC